TGGGGTGACAAGGAACAATGGTAATAAGCTGATGGAGAATAGGTTTAGGTTAGAGATCAGAAGGCAGTATGTTACAGTTAGGGTGGCCAAAATCTGGAACCAGCTTCCCAGGGAAGTGGTCCTTGCCCCTACCTTGGGCAAATTCAAGAGGAGGTTGGATGATCACCTGCCTGGGGTCTTGTGAACCCAGCATTCATTCCTGCCTGTGGTAGGGCTCAGGCTAGATGATCTGTTCAGGTCCCTCCTGACCCTAGCTACTATGAAACTATTATTTCTGTATTAAAAGTGTTGTTTTTTCAGTGAAAAGTCATGGGGCCAAGGTTTAACTCAACCAGTTTAGCCTGCGTTTAAAAGTCTACACTGGTTTTGGTATACTTTTGTTTACATGAGCCAACAGCTTCTGACAACATCTCCCTAAATCGCAGCCAAAACAAACACTATAGGTTTGTTATAAGCTCATATGAACAGTAGGTTTGCAGGTACCCCTGCTGTGTTGTGTTCTTTATACACTTCCCTTAAAAAAATCTTACTGATTCCTATAAAAAAGCAGGAAAGACAAAAACCAAATGTAATTTTATATTAACTCTTCACAGACCCATAGAAATTCCCATGTTTTATTGGACTCACAGTCTATCTAGTCTATTATCTTGTCTCCAGTGGTGTTCAGTGTTAGCAATGGTGCATCACGGAAGATGTATAATGGAAGCAGCTTCCTTTCTATTTATAGGTAGGAAGTGCCAACTATAGCACTGTTTACCCTCTAGAGAGGTCTAATCCCTTGTAGATGGAGACTGGTTTAAACCCTTCCAAAAATTGTTTTTAAATTGACTTATAATGTTGTAACTATTATGATACTATAATGCTTGGACTCAACAGCATCCCCAGCTGTGTAAAGTACACATGTAGTATTAATCACAGTACAATATTTTTTTAAAATGCAGTCACTCTACCTTACTTATTTGATTCTAAGACGAGGTTTTTCCTCCCCCATTCAACATGGAGGAAACCAAGCCTTGTCTTAGAATCAAGCATAAAGTAAAAACTCAACACCCATGTTCTGTGCTGCTCTCTGGCTCTATGCTGATTCCTTCTACATTCTCCAACTCCACTGGGAGCTAAGGAGCAATGCAGGCTGTAGCACAGAGCTAGAGGGTGGGAAAGGAATCAGTGAGGAGCCAGAGAGCAGCATACGACCCAGCAATTTGCTGCTCTGTCCTGTGCTGCTCCGTCTCCCTGCTGAGCCAGGGAGTGGTGAGGCAATCAACCCAGAGCCAGAGAGCAGCGTAGGACCCAGTACCAAATCCCACACTGCTCCCTGCCTCCACACTGATTCCCCACTGGGAGCCAAGAAGCAACACAGGACCCAGTGGGAAACCAGGTAATGGCAAGGGAATCAGTGCTGGTTCCTACACTGCTTTCTGGCTCTGCTAGTTGATTCATTGCTCCCTGGCTCTGAACAGATTCCTTCATTGCTGTCTGACTCCCTGCTGAGCCAGGGAGTGGTAAGGTAATCAGCATAGCACCAGGGAACAGTGGAGGACCCAGCACAAGGACATCATCTAACTGTGTGGGGGTAGACAGCAAGGGGGTAGGCAGCAGTGGGGGTAAGTGGCTGTTGGGGGGGGAGGGGCAGGTACAGGCACCAAAGGGGGAGGGGCAAGGGGGAGTCATGGGTCTGGGGTCAAGCCCCAGACTTGACTCCCACTGCTTGCCCTCCTATTGCAGTGGTTGTGGGCTTGAATTGACGGTCATTTAACCCTCCAAAGCTTAGATTCTGTCCATGGAAAGTTGTTATAAGAAATTTATAATTTTCCATGGATAGAATTTGATTTTTTGGGGGTCATCATAAATTCAAAGTTGTCCTGGATTCAAGTAAATAGTCTCCCCCATGGATATGGATTTGTATTCAGGTCATGTAACAAATGCCCAGGGGGGGGGGTCAGACTTGAAGATCTACCAGGTCCCTTCTGACCCTACTTCTATGATTCTATGTGATTATTAGATTTTAAATACAACCCACAAGGAATCTACAAGTATCAAGAGTAACACAAAACAAAAATCAGAGTTCAGTGTACCAAAGTTTTTCTTAAACCCACTAACAATAAGTCCCCTTCATTCTGAGACACTGCTTTTAGCAGGAAGACTTTGCTTACCTTGCCATTCACAATACACAGATCTTCTTTCATTATTATCTGTGAGCTAAAATAAAGTGAAAGAGTAAGTCAGGAAATCAAATTCTTGTTGCAGTTTGTGTATAATTAAAGCATATTATAATATTTCTTACTTTTCAATTACATCTGCAATGAACTGGCTGACTGCCTGAGCCTCTTCCCCTGGAGGGCCGGGACGAAATCTTGCTGAGCAGAGGGGTGGGAGATCCACATCAGGAACTAGAAATCAAAAGTCTTTAGTCATTAACTTAACACAGAAAGAATTATATTATAATTATAATAAAGAAACATTATAGATAAAGTAATTTATGGTCTTGATCAGTACAGCTTTGCAGGCATTTCAACTAAAAGCCAAGGCCATGAGTTTACAGATTATTCAAATCTCTATACTTTTTCTTCCAAAAGTACAGGGCAGCTATTCAGGGCAAAAACCATTAGTCTGTGTTCTACTGAATTAGTTGTATATTTTTGGCATAACTAAATACTTTAACCATGGAATGTACAGTACAAGCTATCGCAAAAAAGTACTCTTACTATATAGTACCCCCAACTGACAAAGTTCACTGGAGTCGCCGTTACCTGATACTATCTATTCTTTCTATTTTTTATCATGATTTGCTGTTCTGGACATAAAAGTTCATCCACAGAAAATATAGGATATAAACCAGTATTCTTAAAACAATGATTCTCAGTCAGAAAGCGACAGCAAACATGATCCACAAAATAAACCCAGAGATTTCAAACAGAAATCCATAGCTGTGGTTTCCAAATTCTTTGCAACAGAAAAATATGCTCTATTGCCCTTTAGAAAATGCCGCCTCTTAGTTTTCACTGTTTTGGCTACCGAAAAATCTCTCAAGTCTATCCAAATGTGCCTCGAGTCTAAAAAGGTTAAGAATCACTGTTCTAAGACATTCTATTTTGGAAATTCCTAGTTAAAGACAGTTTAGTTCAGTAGAAAACCTGTTTCAAAAGGATGACAGCAAATAGATTCTTATTTATTTCAATTGAATTCCATACGGGAATAAGTGGAGATTCTGTGTTGCTCCAAGTAGCTTTAAAGTACTCTTAAAACTGAGGGACAGATAACACTATGAAGTGCTATAAATCAGTCTGAACCATATCAGTCTCATGTTTCCCTCCAATCTCAGAGCCTAAATCAGTAAAACCCCCACTGAGTTGGATCTACTTTTATACTTACTTCTCTTGATATTTCTGAAGAATATTCTTTCTTGGTTATTATCAAAACACATGGAACTATATAATTTGTTGCAGCCCTTTTCCATCCATTACAATTCTCTTCTGTCAAGGTGTCAAACATTTCTCCACTAAGAGGTACTTTTAGTAAATCCCCAGCCTACAATAACCTACTTTGGCCATCAGTTTGCTTACCCATCTCCCCAGACATTTGCTGTTCCCATCGTTTCCTGGCTGTTTGGAGAGGCTGACATTAAAAGGGGCAAGACAGCTTGTATAAGGAACTCGAAAGAGTTTGGGGGCATTCTAACATGGAGAAGGTAAAATTAATCCTGCCATATTCTCCCAGCTGCTGCTAGAAATTCAGAACACCAAAACTAGCAGCACATATCCAACTGTCAAACTAACTCTAAATTTAAAAAAAGCCATTGTACATCACCTACCTTGAAACTGATTCTGAGTGCTACATTACAATGTTTTAAATCCAATATTGTTTGAAAAAATACTTGCTACTGAAATTGGTTTCACCTAGTGATTAAAACTATTTTGTTAATATGACTAGTGGTTTCAAGAAAAATAGGCAGAAAACTAACAAAGTAAAAGCTTACCAATGTATCCCTTACTTGTGGCATCAACTGGAGGTGCTGCAAATTCCTATAAAGCAAAGATCATAACAGCAACTCAGGGATAAAATTTCATATGTCTGAGCAATATCTTGAAAAGATTTCTTGCAAAGATGCTGAAAAGAATTTGTAAGTTCAATTTCTAGAAGGGATCCTCAGATCTCTTTTTTTTTGTTAAATTTTATTTTCCTAACACTCTACAGGTTTCCCTTGATTTATGTGGTACATACGTTCCTGGAGAACGTCACATAAATCAAATTCGCATAAAGCAAATCTACTTTATAAATGTAAGAAAAAGGGATAGGTTCCCCCGTCAGCTGCTCCCGGGGCTGGCTGGGGTGAGTGCAGACAAGCAGAGCCCTGGGCAGTGCAGGGCACGGCACTCACCCCAGCCCTGGGGCTGGCGGCCACTGCAGACTTGGGCCAGTCCCAGGCTGCTTTTGTCTGGCAGCAGGTGCCTACCCACCCCTGCTGCAGCCCTGGTAGCAGTGGATGCCGCTTGCTTGCAGCCACTGGGCTGCGCCATGCCCCAACCCCACCAGGGCTCCACTTCCCCCAGGCACCATGCCCTGGACCCCCGGCACAGCAGAGCCCAGCAGCTGCAAGCAGCCCAGGGCTGCAGCAGGGGCAGGCAGTTGCCTGCAGTCAGACGAGACTAGGCTGGGGCCAGCAGCTGCTGCAGACTCAGGGACTCCAGGCTCTTCCCGGCATTCTGCCCGTCTCCACCCCAGCCCCAGCTGCAGCAGCCCCAGGAGCTGCCGGTGCCAGCTGCCTGTACCAGGGCAGAGTGCAGCCCAGCAGCTACAAGAAGCTGGCATCAGCCACTCCCGGGACAGCTGCAGCAGGAGCTGGGGTGAGTGGGGACAGGCAGAGGCCCGGGGGGTTCAGGGCATGGTGCAGCCCAGTGGCTGCTGGCAGCTCCGGGGCCGCTGCAGCCGGAGCTGGGGTGAGTGCCGTGCCCTGCACCACCTGGGGCTCCACTTGTCTGCACTCACCCCAGCCAGCCCCGGAAGCAGCTGACAGGGGAACCTACCCCTATAAGTAGATTCCCTTTATGCGAATTTGATTTATGCAGCGTTCTCCAGGCCTATGCCGATTGCATATATGTGAATTTACCTTACATATAAGGAATTTCAGGTACAAAAGGGTCATTGCACAAGAGCAAACTTGCATAAACCAAACCCGCATAAAAATCAAGGGAAACCTGTACTTATAGTCATTTCTTTAATGAATTCCTTGTTGCATATGTGTTATAGGCATTACAACTAGATCTTTTAATACCACCATGTTCTTATATAGCACTGTTCATTAGTAGATATTAAAGCGCTTTACAAGGAAGGTAAAAATATCATTATCTGCATTTTACAGGAGAGGAAACAAGGCACAGACTTGCACAAAGTCATCTGGCAGGCCAACAGAAGAATAGAGAATAGACCCAATAACAACTCTTCTGAACTGCATATCTCCTGAAAGAGGGCAGTGTGCTTATTAATCAAAACTCTCTGCAAAACAAAATAACTAGGTAGGCAAAAAAGGTCTTTGTTTACTTTAAGAACCAAACAATTAAGTGTATAAAAGCCTGTTTTCTATAATCTATTATAATTTCTAACTATCTGTATTTCTCAGACCTGAAAATAAACCATATGAAGAAATATCATTGTTTCTGATTAGCAGATCATTAAAACTTCCCAAGCTTGTTTGTTCTAATAAACAGAGATTTTTATTCACTAAATAATACTAACTGTTGTTATTTCTCAGTCTAAAATGAAAGTAAACATACCGCTTTGATACCACATATTACTGTGGTATTTCCCAGCTTCACTAAGGCAGAGCCATCTGCAGTAGTAATGGAACCTAAAGAAAGAAAATGTTAAATAATATAAGTTATCTATTTAAGCAAGTTCTCAAACACACTATCCAACTTCACAATGAGAATTCCTCATCTTAGCTTCCTCACCATTCACTCAGAGAGAACAGCACAGGATTCACAGAATGCTGTAAATCTTGGGAAATTCTAGGATTGAGTGAAAACTGACCGTACCATAGGTTAAGAGTACCAAGGACTATCAAAAACTGTTCCTATTTACTCTGTAAACTATTTTTGTTTGATACTCTTGTAAGATGGGACACTTTTGAATTTGTACCATAATCTAAAAGCATGTACCAGCATCTTCCAATACCTTGTTTGCTTATTTGAAGGACAACGGTGCTATTTTCCTTTCAGTCCAGTTCCATAATCATTTTATCTGATTGTGTTTTAATTCACTGCTGCGTTAGTTACACTTCTGTTGTCACTAGCAAGGACTTCCAGATTCATTTCCTCTGCATTAGTAGTCGCCAAAGTTGTGCTAGCTGACACCTTCACACCAAGCAGATGGCAAAAGCAAGCTACATGGGTTCTAAATCCCCTGGATCCAGTCAGGAAAGAACATACCCATAACAGAAAATGAAGAACACAGCCATGTTCTGAGCATGGCCCCCACCAAGCCCTGTCTGGGAATGGAAATCAGAAGAGGCATACTGGAGATAGGGCCACAAAATGCAGCACTGTGGAGATTCTGAGTAATGCTGTGACATAGTTTGGAAAGGTGCTGTTATTTAAATTATCAGCCAACGTTTTCTAAATTAAATTGGGTAGTAGTGTAAGTAAAAAGAGCACTGCTGAGTAGCCAGAAGCAGCAGGAAGCAAAGATCACTCAAAACTACTCCTGGACTGCATATTATATACTGTCTATTAGAGCCTCAGTACAGAAACAATACTTCATATTTTGATATCAGATACCAGGAAAACTGATTAGCTGCTCATAATATGGTCCAAATGTAAAACCCAATTCAATTAAAAAGCTGTCCCCCCAACACTTTCCTAACACTTACCTATGTTGACAGTGGTCGCTCTGAATTCACCTAACTCTCTTCCATCAGGACGGCAGTTCTCTTTCTAAAAGATAAGAGTCTGAGTTAAAAATATTTTTTTTAAATAGTACAATCAACATACTAAATATAAATACCAGTTTATCTTCTAATATCAACTTGCAACTGCAAGACAAGCTCTCTAAAATAAGCTCAAGATTTTGCTTCAAGGCAAAGTACTGCAGACCAGATCCACAACAGGAGTGAAACGGGACTACTTTTCACAGCTAAATTCAAAACTGCAATCCTCAAAGTCCCACTCATAAAGCACCTGAAGTCCACACATGCCAAATTACTGACAGTAAAGTTCTACAAGCACCCAAAAGTATGCTTCTAGCATAGAATCATAGAAAATTAGATTTGGAAGGGGCCTCAGGAGGCCATCTAGTTCAACCCCCCTGAAGGCAGAGCTCAGCCATATGTGGAGCGCTGCAGGGACAGCCGCCAACTGGGCAAGGTGTGCTGCACACAGCCCAACTTCCCTCCCCCACCACAGGGCAGGGCGTGAAGGGAGTGGATTACACCTGTCCCACTCCTGGGCACTAAGGATCCTGGTTTTCTGTTTCCCACAGAAAAACAAAACCACAGATTTCCCATTTTTATCAGAGAAAACACAGATTTTCCCTTTTAGAAGAGAATCCCTCGGATTTCCCCCTTTTGCAAAGAGCTTGACAGGCTGGCAGAGTTCCAGCCTACAAGACCTGTTTGTAAAAGGGGTGGGGAAATCTTCAACCCCCCAGGAGGGGAAGGGAGGGGTCAAGGGCAGGGCCCAGCACTCACACTTACTGAAGGCTGCTTCAGGCTCACTCTTCTTGTGGGAGGTAAGTGGGGCTTGGGCAGGGCTGTGGGGGGAAGCTGGCTAGGGGCTGAGGGAGCAGAGAGATTTGCAGCTAGCCAGGCACTCCGTCCAGGAGGGGGTTTGCAACCTCCCCGCTCCCAGCCGGAGTGCTGGGCTGGCTGGAAACCCTCGCCACTCTCTCATCCCCCAGCCAGCTTGGGCACTCCCCAGCCAGGCACACCGGCCGGGAAGGGAGATTTGCAGCCAGTCAGGAGTGGCGGGGGTTTGCAGCCGGCCAAGCACTGTGGCCAGGAGCAGGCAGGCTGCAAACACCCTCCCAGCCAGAGTGCCTGGCCAGCTGCAAACCCTGGGCTGTAAACGCTGTGCTTCCTGCTCTGCTGCCCTCCCCCAGGCTCTCCAGAGCTCAGCGTCTGCGACTGGCATGGCAGGGCACAGCGGGGCCACGCACAAAAGCTGACTGCCACTGCAAGCTCCATGCTGCCCTGTCCACACTTCCTCTGCATACACAGGGGCTGTGCACATCCAATCTGCCCACACCCCCCACGCAGATCTGGGGGATGCGGGTCCCCCCCCTGTCCCCTAGAAGTGCACGCTGTCACTGGGAGCTGGCTCCACCCAAGCCTGCAAGAGGCAGCTAGTGGGGTGGGGGGGGCCAGCTCATGCTCCTGCTGTAGCAGCCACTGCCTTCCACTGGGGGCAGGGGGTTGCAGACCTGGGTCCTTGGCCCCTGGCCCCATAGCCCTGGCAGCTGGGGACCCCCTCCACCAGGGCTGGGGGGCAAGAGGCACAAGCATGGCCTGCAGGCTGGGAGCAGGGGGTAGTGAGGGACACCAGCAGGGCTGTGGGGGGCATTTCACCACAGATTTGGGGATTTTTATCAGAGAATTTGCAATTTTTTACCACAGATGACCAGGCTCCCCACCAACCCAAAGCCTCAAAGGAAGTTTTGGTGAATTGGGGGAGCATGGGTTGGGGGGAGGACAAAGGGGGCTGTTTCCTCGCCTATGGCAGTTCACCAGAACTCCCTATGTGGCCCTTGGGCCCAAATAATTGCCCACCCCTGGGTTAAGTGCACTCAGGATTTAGGAAGCCTGAGTTCAGTCCCCTTTTCTGTTTCATGGGATTCAGTGTAAGCACCAGGCTACAAACTATTCTCAACTGGGAGCACTCTCTTGCCAGAACTGTTCCACTTTGCATGCTATCATAAAAGATTTGTTGCGTCAGAGACAGCTTTGCTTCGTGTGCATTATTAATATAGATTCAAAGTCTGACTTTTCCAAAGCACAATTAATAGTATTAGTTGCTATTTGTGCTGTAGCACCCATGGGCCCCACTCGCTTGCCCAAGATCCCATTAAGCCAAAAATCAGGCTTATGCCCCATACTAATTTAAGCACGTCTAAACCTTGCACACATCAGGACTCCCTTTGAAGTCCATAGTACTATTTGTATGTCAAGTTAAATGACTGCAGAGTAAGAGCCACAAAATAGAAGAGTCTGAACAATCTCTTCTATTACAGGTTTGAAGGACAATCCAAAGCTAGGGATGTACAACACAGTCCATCAGATCAAGCCCAGTGATCTGTCATAATTCTTTATTAAGCCACTACACTAAATGAAAAAGGATGTGAAAAATTAATAATGAGTCCCGTGTCCTCACTGTACAACAGTTTGTTCAAGTGTGCATGTGACTGCATGTGCAGTCATTACCTGGCTGTACACATGGCTAAGGGTTTATATCTGATCAGAGCAGATCTTACCAGTAACAGCCTCCACTGAAAAATGTATTTTACAAATGGCCCTCAGAAAACGTTTGAGTTGTGCAACCTTGCCAAAACCCTACTGTGGTTTCAAAAGAGTTAAAGAGAACAACAGAAAAGAAAAAAATATTTTCAGTCTACATAATTTTAGGCACATATAACGCTTTACTCACCAAAAATCTTCTGTAGTACTCCAAAGGTTCCACAGTTCTAGAAAAAAAAACAGAAAAACAGAAAAATTCTTATGGAAAAAGCTGTTTTACAAAACTGAATTGGCTAGTCAAAGCCTAGCAAGAAGCTTAGTGCTTTGTGGTTTAGCAAAGTTTGACAGTCAAGTCCTGTCTGTCTGTTGCCTATGTTGTGACAGAAAGCTAACCAGCACTACCAACAACTTACTAGAATACTCTATCATGATTTTTCTGATGGATTTGAGACATGAACTCAGATTCTAGAAAGATGGTGGCTCTGAAAATAGGAAGGGCTCAGAAACAATAATGTTTGGCAAACAGGGAACTTTTTTGTCAATCACCCACAACAGAGTGGTCTTTTGTACAATTCATTTATTTTAAAGCATTACATTGGATATCTCTTCAAACTAACATTACTAAGGGAGGTGGAGAAGAAGATGATCATCAGTAGCAAAACTATGCCTGAAAATAGCTATGGCAGTCTGCAACACTGCCATTAAAATAGGACAGCATTCCCTGGAAAGGAATGTACCTTGGTACAAGGTTTTCTTAGGTTTTGTTCAAACTAGTATTTTTGGAGACAGCCATGGGTATAGTAATTCTGAGAATGAATTTAGTTTCTTTGTATACATACTTTGGCATCACAAATCAGGAAAACAAGTTTAAAGGTAATCCCCAGCAAGTCACCCTGTGAAGCTCCGAACTGGCATCAATACAGGTGTTACTTCCCACTGCCTGAGCCAGTAGCAACTATATCCCACTTCACTGAGGGTGAACGAGAGACATAGGGGAGGGCGGGATCGAAAGCTGGATGGCTGTACAATTCCTCCCTCGGCTAAATTCCTTGAAACGGACCCTTTGTCCAAGCACTTCTCAATACCTAACCTTCCTTTGCTCCAAACGGATCCCTCCCTTCCAGCCTACCCAAGACTTGAGACAGGGTCCTGGTTGCTTTAAATTTCCCCCTTAGCCATTTCTGGCTACACCAAGATCTACAGCCCACAAAATACTTCAGCTGAGGAAAGATCAATTCTCATCTTGTGTTGTGGAACCAGATTCCAAAAGGGACTGGACAAATACTCAGAGGAAAGGGGCATCAATAGCTCTTGAGCAGAATCAGAACTTCCCAAGCCTTAAATGCTGGAGCCTGCAAGTAGGAGAGGAACAGTGGGGAAAACCCTGCCCATAGCCTGTTCACTCTCCCTTTCAACATCCACTCCCTGCCACCGTGGGACACAGGTGGGGGTGGAGGGGAGGGAACCTGAGTTTAGAGGACAGCTAAAGAGAAAACAGGGATGGGAGCAAGGTCATGGGTTTAACAAAAGTGCTGAGGGGGGGGACATGGAGCAGAGCACACTGGGGCTGTGCCCACCGGCCCTCAAAAGAACCAACAGACTCTGCCCATGAAGCTGCCCAGAGACATGAACAAAGCAGGGACAGGGAGACATCCTTGCAGGTCCTGGCAGCTGTGTGACACAGGTCCACCTGGTGGCTTCCAAGGGACTGGGCCCCTGCCCAAGCAGAGCTACAAGGTTCCCTCAGAAGAAGCGACTCCTGAGAAAGCAGCACCTGGTTTTCTGGGATGAAAGAAGACAACAGGGGGGCAGGAGCGAGGCTTGGAGGCTCAGAACTAGGCATAGAGAGGCTGGACCCTGTATAGAGGCCCTTAGGCAGCTCCCAGTGATGTCCTGCCCAGAGGCGTGGGCAGGCGAGACGGCCCTGAGGCCCCCAGGGCTGCGCCACGTATGGAAGGAAGGGGGGGGAAGCAGCAGCTTCCCTCAAGGGACGGGCCCTGGCAGTGTTGCCTGCTGTACAATAAGTATCGTATTCACGCGATGATTTCAACCCTTATACAACGTACAATCAATCATAGTAAAAGCATTCAAAATGTAAGATCATTTCTGTAGGCATTAATTGATGCCGCATACACAACACCCAGATCTCCCTTGGGGGGCCTTAACCACCTTCTTGGCCTTGCTGCCGGCACTTTCTTACGACAGCCTGCCTCGAAATAAAGAAATGCTTCAACTTTGGTAGCCCAGGTCTCTCTCACTCACTCACTCACAACGAACAGCGAGCAACAGACAGCAAACGAGAAGATGTCTTTCCATTCTCATTTGCACAATTATTCGGCGTACGAGAATTTTTCAACAAATACCATAATTTCGAGCCGCTAATACGATAGCTTCATATTTAAGACCTGGGAAAGAATGCGCCCCGCCTGGGCCCCAGGGAACCCCGGCAGATGGAGGCTGTCCACCGCCAATAGCCCCACGCCGTGCCACATCCGACCCGGCCGGCTGGAGCTCCGCCAGCCCTTCCCCCCCAGAGCAGCGCGGCCGTAGCGAGACCAGCCACAGCCTAAAGGAGAGACGAGGACCTTACTTGAACCCAGCCGCCATGGTGCTACTTCCGCCCCGCTTCCGGGGTT